CTCCTGGTTCCTTGTTGGTGCTGTTTTTTGAATATCTGTATAATTTGCCATATCAGAATAAAACTTCCAAACGTTCGTGTGGAAGATTCCTACAACAAATTTGTGGTGACTCGTAGATCTGAACTTGGACCGCGTGGCACTCTACTCAGAGGATAAGGCGAGCAGAATCTACATTTCTACAGCTGCATAATCCTACAAAATCTGTTCTACATTTTTAGAGCTTCATAGTCGCTACACTCTCAAAGTCATGGGTTCCGATCAGACCAGGGTCAACCGTCCGTTGGACAAAGTCCAACGCGACGACGAGAGTAATGCCGAGAGTGAACGTACGCACGGAGACACAGACGGCTCGCGGGTGGCGAGAGTGAATGCCGGCGCGGAGAGCGGTGAACATCGGTCCAACGTCGCTCCAATATCGGTCCAACGTAACGGTTGACCCTGGATCAGACCCTTGGGGAACTTCTTTCTCCGAATGAGGTAACAGGAGCAGTGGCACTGTTGCAGGTTGAAAGCGTGAGAGGATGGAGCTAATGCCTTCGAGATGAGCGCTGCGACTACCGCAACTTGTCCACCGTAGCGTAGGTGGCGTCTGTGCTCTCTCGCGTTTTCCCTTTCCTCGCAGCGCTGTCTCTCCGCCACTTCACGACTGACCTCACAAGGGTTGCTGTTGTTGTTTATTATCGATAGCGAATGTACAACAATACGTCAACCACTAATTAGCACCACACAATGGTTTCTATGGTGCTTCTTGCTTTACTCCCAACTGGCACTCCTCATCCCACTTCTTGTTCAGTCTTTGCACGAAATAACACATCGATTCAATGCGACCTAAAAATAAACGGGTAGAAAAGTTGGCCCATTGGTCTGTGTGGGGAGAGGTTGTGTCTGATTATTAAGTACACGCAAGTTTTCAGGGTTTAGATTCCTATAAGTTTCAAGTTTTTGCAAGGCTTTCTTTCGGGCCCACAACACCTCTTCTCTTTTTTTCTGAAATTTCCATCTAATGGTAAAGTTTGAAAAGTCAATTTGGGTACATTTCAGTTAGGAGGCATCATGATGCAGTTTCTCGGCGAACTAGTGTGAACTCGAACATTCCAGCTTTTCACGCATGTCAAGTGACTGCCCTCACCCCCACCCCCGTAGACTGGCTACACTCCCCTGGCTCGGAGTTACCCTAGCTTTCTGGAAACTGCATCGATGCCCCTCTAACTGGAATAGACCCGTCAATTCAATCAAATGGTTGCTCTCTCGCTTTCTGTTTTGTATCGAAGCATGGTGCGCGGTTTACACCTTGACGCTAAAAGGACGTGGCTGCAATGGCTCGCGTTACTTTGACGGTAATAAGTGACGTGCTGCAATTCCCCCGCCCCCCACTACCTTAGCACTCGTTTTGATGCAAAGGCACAACCTAGGCAGAAGTCGTGCTTCAAGCCTAAACTTAAGGTGGTGAGCCTTGATCGCATCTATCTAAGAACTCGTCATTTCCTTAGCGCTTTCGCGGTGCTGTTTCCATTCCACAACGAGTGTACTGGAGCGCCGCATTCTCTTTAGAGCGTACTATCGGCGTGTCGCTTGAATGCCGACATTTGTGAAGTAGTGAGCGCCGATAGGTACATTTCTTCATTTCTTGTTTTTGTTTTTGAAAGGAACTGTTTCTCTTTTTCGCTGATGGAAATTTGCATTCTGTTCGGATCATGCAATTTTGTCTTGAAGCCTCTATTCCGTAGAATCTTGAGGTGCAGCCATTTTCAGGTTCTCATGACAACCCGTTCGAGTACTTCTCGGCGATCGTTGTCTGCTTTGGCCACCTGTACATCATTATTCTCAAGCGATCAACAGCATAGACAATAGTAAGCCAGCAGTCGTACTCGATCTTGGCAGGAGGCTCACAAAGTACGTTTAGATTTTCACCTTTTTGCAGCTTTCACTTTTGTTACAGCTCCTTTGCACAGAGGTTATGCCACTTTGACTGATGGTTTTTTCGAAGTAGGCTGAATTATTGTAAGTTGTTGCGCTCTAACGCTTACCTATGTTCATTTTTACCATCGTCAAATTGTAGATACTCTCGCATACACAGGGTCCCACTACGGATAACGTAATTACGGGCTTAGTAAGACGTGTTGCATCATTAGGCATCAATAGCAACAGGAACCGCCACGCAGGATTGAGTTTAGGGCCTTGCCTTGTGTGAAAAAATGAATGGTGGCGCTATGGCCGATGTCAGACTCTGCGATTGGAGCGATCGGTCAAATGCGATCCGCGCGACCATCGCGCGATTGACATGACTCCCATCATGACCAATCGCTCCAATCGCGCGATGGGCGCGATCACTCCCGTTGTGGCTGGCGCGCCCCTCTCGATCGATAGCTCAGTCAACGTATCGATCGAGAGGGGCGCGCCAGCCACAACGGGAGTGATCGCGCCCATCGCGCGATTGGAGCGATTGGTCATGATGGGAGTCATGTCAATCGCGCGAATCGCGCGATGGTCGCGCGATTGGCATTTGACCGATCGCTCCAATCGCAGAGTCTGACATCGGCCAATTCCACTAGGGAGAGGGGGTGCGAGGAAAGTAGGACAGAAAGCGACCCTTCCCGTTTCCGCAGCGCGAAACACTTTTCGCTGCAGAGACCTCAGGCATACGTGATCATGGAATTGCTTGGCACGAAAAATGTCTCGCGCGCGAAGGCGAAAATCGCTTTGCAGTTTTAGTGACAGCACACCGAATGTGCGCTGTAGTGCGGGCGCTGCTGCCCGTCTACAGAAATCTCAAATCTTCCTGGAGTTGAACATACTTCGTGTCGTGTAACGATTTCCGGCTGCTTTTTTAAACCCACCCTGGCTTTCCGTTCCTCGCGATAGAAATGAATTATTCTTCGATATGAACTGCCACGCCCGTTCCCTAGATTGGTACCGAATGGATCCTTGTAAGAAGCTTCCATGAACTCGAAGATGAAATTCGTAGTTACGCAGAAAGATTGCTCTTGACGATAAATCAGAATCATAGACTCCACACCACGCCTGGATATCTCTATCTGATGTGAGTGATGGTCCTCCTCTCCATTTCTTGCTTAAACTCCGAGTCTTATCAAAATTCACGTCGGTCTAACGTAGGGCCGATAAAATTTGAGCTTTGCTGTATGACGTCATTTTTCGGAGCGCGAGCAATTTCCGCCAATGGTTTTCTCGTTCGGTAATTGAAAGCATTTTTCGTTGTTGCGCTTTTTTTTCTTCAATTCGGCTACGATAAATTCACTGTAGGTCTTCATCATATCGGACAATGACATAGCCCAATCGTCTCTATGATCTTGCAAGGCTAACGCAATCCATCATTAAGCTTGCGGATAGCATCGTTGCTGTGGGATTCTCGAATATGTAGCTACAAACTCAACTCGATGCATCTTTCGCAAAAGTGACTACATTATTCGATTGTTGCTTGAAAAATTTGCAGGTTGTGATAGTTTCCGTGTTTAATTACGGTTTTCAGAAATTTGGAGAAGCGATCTTTGGTCTCATTCGGAAAAAGGCATTCCATACAATTTTTTTCTTATTTCGGTTATCCAAACAACAATTATTTTTGTGAAGAGCTATTCGAATATTTTGTTGTTCAGGAGCATAGGCTGTCGACCAGTAAAGTTCTATCACCTCGCTCCTTAAAAACGATGACTTCTCGAAGATGTAGCTCGCTACGACAGAAAGCGACTTTTCCGCGTTTCGCAGCGCGAAACATTTTTCGCTGCAGGAACCTCAGCTCCACTCATGATCAACGGTGGACCTGAGGTGTCCGCAGCGAAAAATGTTTCGCGCTGCGAAACGCGAATAAGTCGCTTTCTGTCCATGCGAACCATACCCACTTTTCAAAGCAAACATGTTAACAGTATCAGGAAGCCCTCTGTAGATGGATTCTATCAATCGTGGGAATTGTATATTAGATCATCATAAGCAAAATGAAGCGAGTGCAGCATTCTTGTGCTCATGTACTTCCCACTTTCAGAGTTGGATATGCTGGGGATTTTGTACCACGAGCGATAATTCATTCGCAGTTCTTGGAAGAATCTATTTATGAGTGTGGTGACACTACTTGTGACCGTCCTCAAGCTTCACAGCCAAGTTTGTCTCGAATGGTGAAGTTCTTTCGCAACATTTTCAACAGGTATAGCGATGAAAGGCCTTACCGCATCTGTGAAGGTCAGTAGCTGAAGTTAGAACAGTACAGCCTCTTTTAGTTATCTCCTGACTATGCCACGTGAACGACGAGTAGTGATTGTGGAGAGCTTACTTACTCCTACACAATTCAGAGAAACTGTTTGTGAGGTGAGAGCAATTCAGTCCTGACTTGGTTAGGTTGTTGGTCAAGAGATGACGCATTCATGTTCATTCATAAAGACATGTAATTTGAGATTATTTTCTTGTTCATCAAGATTTTTCACTTCAAAAAGTTTGTTTCAGGCACTTCTTGAAGTTCCAGTGTTCTTTTTATTCCTTCCTCATCTCGCTGCAACATTCCCTTTCAATACAGAATATGCGCTCGTTGTAGATGTCGGATATGTGGAAACACTTGCAGTTCCCGTGAGTTGGATTTTTATTGTATGTGTTGAGGCAGAATTGAATCTTTTCCACTGTATTTCGGTTTGTTTCGTATTTGTTGACGCCTCAATGCGATTGGCAGGCATTCTCTGTTGATTCCTTCAGTTTTTCAGATTGCTGAAAGTGTAACTATGTTGTCTTGTTGGGAACTTTCAAGTGTTGGTTCGAGAAGATTGGAAGACCGTGTACGGGAACTGCTCAAGGTTCATGGCCGCGTGGACAGTGGTGACGGTGTTCGTGAACTGAACGAAGACGACTGGAAAATAATAGAGGTGGGCCATTTATCACATATTATTATAGCTATGCTGAAATTAGTGGCGATTGAGCGTCGGGTGGCTTCCAATGCAATTCATCATACGATTACTCAAGCAGAGAGCAGCATATCACTCACCATTCACTGGCGATCTTAAGCGCAGATTGCAGTCGTTTAGAAAATAGCGCATGTGTGCATAGCAGAAAAAGAGTAAAGAAATGCATTTTTCGATGTCTTTTCGATTTTGTAAATGGTTCGTAAAGGTTACCAGTGTTATGAATTCCTTCCTTCGCCCTTTTTTCAATTCTCTTTTCAAATGTTCCTTTCTTTTTGGTGCGATCAACGACAGTGAGCCAGAAGATGAAATTTTTGCGCAGGCCTAGGGGTTAAGGAGCTATTAGGTCTCACTGTGATTGTGATCCAAGCCCATTGTGCAGGAGTTCTCGCCCTTTTCTTGCACCGAAACGCCTCTCCTTACAGGGAAAGCGCCTACCTAGTGTTTTGTTGATCTTCCTATTCACTGACGCATGTTTAAAGCACTGCATAAATACAAATAACGCTTCGTTTGGCATTTTACCATTCTCTCGAAGTGTTTTAGTATTCGTTCATTGCCCCTTTTCGTTTAGGATTCCAATATTGTGGAAGACATATGTGTACGTTTTGTCTTTTGCTGTCCCTTTGAACGTGGTCAAGCCATCCAGGCAAGTGGTGCGGAGCACGGTTTGCCTCCGGTGAAATCTGTAAAAGTACCCCTTGGTGCTGAGTTTCTTCATAATTCCTGGATTCGTAAGGTTAGTTCTTTCTAAATAGGTCTCGGCATAAGTGTTTGAGAATGAAAATGAAATCTCAACACGAAAACTTTCTTTTTGAAATATTAATAAAATTTCCCTGCGATCAATCCTCTGAGCGCGTGTATGTTGGTTGCACGATGGGCGCTCACTGGTGGGTTTCACAATCTGTCGCTTTGTTACTATCGAGTGCGGCACGATGCTCACGCAGCTTTCCAGTACATCATTCGAGCTGATATATGTAAATTTGTCTGACGTACAGCTTTCAGTCAGATTACCAAATTTCGCAGCAGCAGCGCTAATTGGAACCATTAGAGTTTTGCGCGAGAAGAGACAGCAGGTGAACCAGCTATACCGGCTTGTTACTTGAGAACTTGGGGATTCACTCGATTTCAGTACTTTAGTCAAGTATAGCAAAGTATCCTTATGGTTTCTTCTAGCTGACAAGCGGCTGGTTTTTTCGTGTCCACTGCAAAAAACCTTTGTTGAGACATACTAATATTTCATCAACATAGTAAGCTGATGGTTTCGGTATTTAAGAGAAGCTGCCTGCGAGGTTTTCTTCGAACGCAGCAATGAGGATCCCTCCATTGGACAAATGATCCACACACTTGTTGAAAGAGTATGTACTGCTTCACATTTTTCTGTTTAGATTTTTAAACTTCTTTCAAATACTGCTATCCATTGTGAATCTGTCGTCCTTTCGTTAACAGCCTTTCTTTTTGAATAATCTAGAAATCTTTCATTCTTAGAGTATGAAGTGTGTAGTGTCTTTTGCAGTAGACTTATTTTTTCAAAACTATTTGCCGTAATTTTCTCTTGGTATGGTGCATTCACTTCCTACAAATTTTTCAGTGCCCACTGGACTTACGCAAACTAATGTTCGAAAGCATTCTGCTGACTGGAGGCCCTACGCTTATTCCAGGATTCCTTGCTCGTTTGAAGGTTTGCTTTGAATAAATTTGTAAACGGCTGTCAGTCGGGAGGTCATCTGAAGTTTACAAAGTGCACGACCTTTTTTTTTCTAGTTTGGTTTTGATTTCAGTTTGTTTATTAGTTGTATCCTTCTTCGAATCAACCAAAGTGTTGTGTAGCCTTGTTACAGCCTCTGTTTTCCTACACCATCAACCATTACATCTTTCTCTTATTGCTACCTCCACAGCCAATTTTTTGATGTCTGCCCATTGTCCAATTTGGGCTTCCTTGCTTCGATGTCTTCTTTCTAATCTTTTTTTTTCCAAAAAATCTCACCATTGTGCGTATCCTGCCATCCAACGTGTTTTCAACAAAAGTGATCTGATCTTCATTGTAACGCAATGTGTCAGTCAAGATTTGCGCTGTTCTCGTTTCATTATTAAGTGGGAACTTAAAGGAGGATGTTACGTTAAGTTGGTTGTGGGAGAAGCGGAGATTTGCTATCTAGAAAGGATCGCTGGGTCTTCAGGAAGCGAAAGAGGATTGTGTGGTAGCGAAGGGCTCGCCCATCGAAACCTAGAAAACCCTGACCTTGGCGGAAGTCACCTTCCGTGGGGAGCCATACCTCCAAGTGGAGGACTCTGGCTACAGTTGGTTGGATGATGATGCTGTTATCGCTATACTTTGTTCTTTATTTTGAAGGGGATTTTTCGTACCTCTACTATCTTCAGGAGAATGCGTATCCCATGTTGAGCGGCCGTATCTTTGAGTTCTCTGTGTAATGCGTTATTTATAAGAAAAATGATTTTTGTTGGCATGGTGCCTGTTATCGGGATTGATACAGGCAAGTTAACTAACTCTCCATGGTCACCCACGGATTCTGAGCTAATTTTTTAAGGGGCTCTTCATTGACTGGTGAACACTTCAACCCCCTCTACTTTCAGCTTCATTGAGCATTAATTTTTTTTCGTAAT